CTTTTTTATTTATTTATGGCATGTGGGATCTTAGTTCCCCAACCACGGATGGAACCCTTGCCCTCTGCCGTGGAAGTGCGGAGTCCTAACCGCTGGGCCACCAGGGAAGTCCCGGCAATTTCCTTTTTTTTTTTTTTTTTTTTTGCGGTACGCGGGCCTGTCACGGCTGCGGCCTCTCCCGTTGCGGAGCACAGGCTCTGGACGCGCAGGATCAGCAGCCATGGCTCACGGGCCCAGCAGTTCCGCGGCATGTGGGATCTTCCCGGACCGGGGCACGAACCCGTGTTCCCTGCATCGGCAGGTGGACTCTCAACCACTGCGCCACCAGGGAAGCCCCAATTTCCTTTTTTTAAAATGCAAGTTTGACTTTTCCCCTCACCTGCTTCAAATCCTGCAATTGCTTTCAACTTCCAGACAGGATTGAAAATCCTTAAAGTCGACCCCATCTCCCGCTCACTATACTGAACTTGTCGATGCTCCTCAGACTCATCTTACTGTTGCTCCCCAACTCCAGGCCTTTGCACATGCTGTTCCCTCGGCTTGAACAACTCTTACCTATCGTACAGGTCTCAGCTTAAATGCCACTTCTCATCTCTTTACCACACTCAATAACCTTCTAACCACTTATGTCTGTCTCACCAGATGACCTGTAAGAGCGATGCCTGACTTTATTGTCCTATGCCCAAGGCACAACACAATATTTGACACATCGTAGCCACTCAGTAAACCCTTATTAAAGATACCGCTTTCTCATGGGAGATGTTCATCATTAACCAAGTCACATATAGAGACAATAACAGGGAGAGGAAGGTTTGAATGTGATAATTGACCACAAAATCCCCCACAGGAAAATACCCTAACCAGCCATAGGCTGCTTCCCATAGACAGCTGCCTCAGTTACCCAAACAGGGAAGAAAGCTTCCTCCAATATAGCAGGGACCACAAAAGCACAGTCAGGGATAAACATCTCAAGGCTCTAGGTCAGAAATGCTAATTTTTCAAGCAGAGTTGTTTATCTTCACTAAGGACCCCATCTTAGCACTGGCCTCTTCTTATTTCAAACATTTCTGGAAGCTTATATTATTCTGCTAGAGCTGCCATAACAAAATATCACAGACTGGGTGGCTTAGACATCAAACATTTATTTTCTCATAGTTTTAGAAGCTGGAAAAATCCAAGATCAAGTTTCCAGCCAATGTGGTTTCTGGTGAGAGCTCTCTTCCTGGCCTGCAGACGGCTGCCTTCTCACTATGGCCTCACATGGCCTTTTGTTGCACATGTGAAGAGAGAGAAAGCAAGCTCTCTCCTATGTCTTCTTGTAAGGACACTAATTCTGTCAGATCAAGGCCCACTCGTATGACCTCATTTAACCTTAATTACTTCTTTAGAGACCCCATCTCCAGATACAGCCACATGGGCATGAGGGCTTCAACATATGAATTTGGGGGGAGACACATGCATTCAGTCCATAACAAAGTGCAACATTCCCCTCCTCTAATTCAAAAAGAGCTGAGAGTCTTCTCATGCTTTCTGGCTCGGTGTACCAACCTGCCATGGATGACTGCCAGAGAGTTGCACCCACATCTGTATTTCCTTAACTGGTAGCTAGGTTGCTTTAGTTAAGGAAGCCAGTCATCCAGGCAGGAGGAAGAAGAGCCAATGAAAATGAGAGAGAAATAACTGTCAGAAAGCTAGACTTACTAGTGACCCAATGGAGGGAATGAGGAAGAGTCAAAACCAGCTTAAGGTCCCATAGGATGTGGCCCCAACCATCAAGGCATTCTTTTTTTTTTTTTTTTTTGTGATACACAGGCCTCTCACTGTTGTGGCCTTTCCCGTTGTGGAGCACAGGCTCCGGACGCGCAGGCCCAGCGGCCATGGCTCACGGGCCCAGCCGCTCCGCGGCATGTGGGATCCTCCCGGACCAGGGCACGAACCCGTGTCCCCTGCATCGGCAGGCGGACTCTCAACCACTGCGCCACCAGGGAAGCCCCCATCAAGGCATTCTTATTTCATTATGCCTGCCCCAAATTTCCTTATCTGTAATACAATCTCATAGGGTTATTGTGAGGACCAAATGAGAAAGTATGTAAAGTGCTAAAACAGGGCCTGGCCTGCAGTAAGTTCTCAGGAAATTTTAGCTACATATAGTTACATTTCCCAATTTCCTACTCTAACAAGTCTGCACATCTTCATCCCAGATTCCAAGTCCTCGCTCATGTTGGTACTTCTGTCTGGAATGGCCTTTCTAGTCTCCTCCACTTACACAGGCTACAACATCCTATTCAGGCCCTACTTTCTCCACAAGGCCTTCTATGTACAAATATGACATTTAGCACCCGTTCAACTCATCTTGATTAAGTAACAATGTTGCTTTGGCAGCTAACAATCTTATACCTTTAAGAAGCTATTTCTTAACTTTGGTGTGTTTTTCAGTGCCTAATATGGTGCTACACTGTAGATGTTCAGTAACTCCTGCTTGAAGAAAGGAAGGGGGGAAAAATCTGGATTCTGGGCAATAAAAGGGTCACCTGAACCTTAAAGCAGTGCTTCTCAACTCCGGTTTCCCAGTATGTGGAGAGGTCTTGCCAGGATGATCACAAAATGCTCTGCAATTCTCAAAACAAGATTACTTTTAATTATACTTTAGTTCTAAAGCAAACCTAAATCTGTCACACAGCACCTTCTGAAGAACACAGTGTTATGAAATCAAACAATTATAGGGACAACACAATCCCCAAAGGTCTGGGAACCATTGATAATGCTGCATCTGGTAGAGTGGTAAGGACAGAAGCAGACAGACAGCAGACAGCAGCAAAGGTAGTGAGAAACGGGTGCAGAGCATATAAAACTCAATGGTATCTATTCCACATTGGGCACATACATTGATATTGTCAACAATCCTGTCAGGGAGGGATCATTATCTCCAGATCCGCCTGACTTCCTGGCCATGCCCTTTCTTTCCCTAATCCTCCTTGCCAATTCTGTTAATGAGAAGGGGTGCTGCATTTGGAGATGTTGTGTGGCCAAGTAAATATGCCTTCCTGGCCATCTTCATAGAGATGGTACTCTTTGCTTCTTGAGGGAAGGGAATGGACTTTATTTTAGGAAGCTGGGAGGGCGTCAAGGGGACAAGAATAAGGAGGGATGGAAGTTGAGGGTGAGAGGTGAGCCTCAGGCCTGGGGAGTAATCTACAGGATGTAGTTTAAGGGAAACCAATTAGTTCTCCTTGTCCCCAGATATCTCCTGCCCAACATATTAAGGTGCTAGGAATCAGCACCATTATGGTCTTATGGTTTAAGGCCTTATTTTCAGCAGGCCTTTAAGATATATGCATTACATGATCTTTTGATCATGTAATAGGCCTGTGAAAACAGGCCTACCAACGTAGAAATACTAATTAGTTTATCAGTTTAGTCATCACCTGACAGTAGGGCATCAGGATCTGATAGAATGAGACAAGAGCAGGTTTAGAAAGTAGGAAGGAAAGGTCCACAGCTTGGACTGTGTTTCTGAAATCCCTCTGAAAGGGGGAGGGTGGTGGTAATGGGCACCTGGTGTGGACTGAGGGAAATGGGAGGTGGAAAGATACTAAAGGTAAACTTAGCCTGCTTCCAAATGTCGGCTTTATCAAGCACTACCTGGAACCCTAAGTATGCTTTCACCTCCAGACACTGAACTCAAAGTGTCACAGGGTGAGGGAGGTGAGTGGGCAACTTGGATGCACATGGAAATCTGGAATACTACAGGCTACAACCATACCTCCAGCTTCCAGGAGCCACAGAGCTAAACCAGGTGCAAGGGATACAAAAGTGCCACTTTCCAAATGAGAGGCAGGTGGGTTCCTCGCCAGCCCCTGATACCTGTGGCTAAGCCCTGGCAGCTTAACAAGTACCATCCACCATCTCTTGCATCCTGGGAGAAGGCTCCTCTGCACAAATCCAGTCCACCCTCCCCGCAGCATTTTTCCTTTGGCCGGAAAGGGAACCAATCCTGAAGGCCACTAGAGGGCAGTATATAGCAGGGACCCTGTGCAGGAAGAGCATAGCCGCTACAGGGAAGGGTGGGCTCCTGGTGGTACCGCCAACCCCTACCATCCCCCGGGCCCTGACACTCTCCTTCCAGTGCAGTCCAATTTCCTCGGAGCTTCCATTCCTAACTCAGGGGCACTTGCCTGCCTGGATTCCAGGTGTCTGCTGCGTTGGACCCAGAGGTTCCAGAAACACCCAGGCCAGGAAAGCAGAGCTAGAAATAATGGGAGAGGGGAGAGGGGAACGGTGGAGGAAGCCAGTAGAAACAACAACCAGGACAGGTGATCAGGAAGGGGGCTCAGGTTTTAATTCCTATGTGCCCTCGCTTGGAGAGCCTGTGCCCCCTCTACCCCCATACACCTGGACTCAGCCCATCAGGAGGGATGGGTTCTAGCCCTCTGTCCAGGTTCTTTCTCTTGATCAAGAGTGTGTGGGGACTATCAGTTATGAATTAGCTAGGGATTCCCATGAGTCATCAGTTGGTCCAGTTACATCCCCCCAAAAAACATCAGCCCCATGTAGACCCCTTACACCAGAGTAGGATGGGGATTACGGTGATTCTTGAGGGAGGGACCAGGACTGCAGGCTAACAACTGGGGGCCAGAATTCTTTAAGTATCAGTACCCACAGTGGCCTGAGCCACCTCTGGAGCCCCTATGAACAGAAAAAGGACGTTTTTGGGTTTTCTTGTTCCTTGGGTAACCCTGGTCCCTCCAACAGTCGGTATGCAAACATGTGGGCAGAATGCTAGTCCTCTCTGGGTGGGAAAAAGAACTAGCAGCCTAGAAAAGGGCAGACTCTTCTGGTCTCTGTTGCTGGTCGATTGGATGCCTCCTCTGAGAGGAGGAAGCAGGGTGGGACGATCTGCTGGGGAAGGAGAGGGGAATGGGAAGTAAAGTATGGTTCCCTTTCTCCGTACCCCCCTCCCCCAATCTGGAGGTAAATCACCATCTGAATAGAGATATTTCCCAATCAGCTCCTGGAAGCCTTCCCTTTATTAGCCCACTTGTAGGAAAATGTCAGATGTCAGATTGGCTCCCATGTCAGATTAACTGTTAACGCTGTGCCCCAGCCCCTCATCTCGCCAGGCGGGGCAAGCAGATTATTATATTACAATTTATAAATAGAAAATAAAATAAAATAATCGGGTGGGGCTGAGGCACTGGGGAAGAAGAGGAGAAATAGTCCTCGTCGACGAGTACCCATCATCAACCCCATCTACTTAGGACCCAACCTCTCAGTTAGAGGTTGCCCCTAAACCATCGCGTCCATTTTTCTCCCTATCCCTCCCTCCCTCCCAGTCAGCATCGTCTGCTGCCCACATCTCCAGATCTCAGCCCGCACACTCCCGTTTAGGCGGATGCCACGAGGTTTCTACGCCTGGAGCGCTCAGTCCAGCAGCTCCTCCGCCAAGCGATAGAGGAACCGAGAGTACCAATGCATGCCAGTTGGCTGGACGGCCCCGCCCGGAAGCAGCGCCCCCAGCGCGTGCAGCAGGCGCAGAGGAGCAAAGGCGCGGTGCGCCCACTGGTGACTCTCCAGAACCGCGTAGCACGAGGCCAGGACATCGTTGACCAGCAGCGTCCCGTGCGCTGTGAGCGGTGCGAACACGCCAACAGCTTCCTCCCGCGCCACTCGGGCCACGCGCGCAGGCCGAAGGGCGTCCCCGCCTGGCGCCAGCACCGAGTCCCCCGCGCGCAGCCGGCGCGCGAACACCGGTGCAAAGTCGCCTGGCTCGGGCGCAGGCCCTCGAGCGGCGAACACCAGGTGCCAGGGAGTGAGCAACAGCTTGCGCGGGGGCCGCTCGGTCTCCACAGCCACGAAAGAGGCCCGGCGCTGCAAGTCCCGGTCCAGGAAGAGCAGCACGGGCGTGGGCACCACCCGGCCTGCCGCGTCTGCCGCCAGCACCCAGTCGCCGCGGTGCAGTTCCCGCAGCCCCTTCCGCTCGCCGCTCCGCAGGCGCACGGTGGCATTTCCCGGAAAGCAGCCGCCTGCCCTGACCGCCAGTGAGTTATCTGGAGGGGACAAGCAGAGAGAGGATTGCATGGAGACCAGTTCCAGAATGTTAGTACAGACTGTCAAAGACGTGGGTCAAGCCCAGCGCAGACCTCACCAGTCCCGGAACAACATGCAAGTTCCCACGGATCTGGTCCTAACCTGGGCAGAAATGGAAGGGGGGTTTACAACACTAACGCCCGCCTGGGGTCCCCTAGAGTCGCAACAGGGCTGCGTACCCTCAGTTTCCCGGAGGGACCTCACCACCCACCCCGTACTGTACCGGCTTTGACAGACACGTGGACGTGGTTGCGGGACTCGTAATAGACCCAGTCGAAGCCGGCTTCCACTGCCAGGCGCGCCAGCAACCCATACTTATTGCGGTCGCGGTCGGACGTGGTGATATCCAGGGCACGTCCTTCGTAGTGAAGTGAGTCCTGAGCGTGGTGGCCGTCCTCGTCCCAGCCCTCGGTCACCCGTAGGCGCACTCCGGGCCACATGTTCATCACCGCAATAGCCAGCGCGTTCACCCGCTCTTTACAACGCTGGCGGGGAATAAAGGAGTCAGTCTCCTCAGTACCACTACCACCAGCATGGGGGCTAAAGCGACCTGGACGGGCGGGTTAATTCTTCTTTGTTTTCCCGACACCCCTCCAGTCCCTCCCAGATTTTGAGTGTCCTGAGGAAGTGAGAATCTGAATGGGTGTAGTCGCTAATCTATGCTCTCCAGAACGTCGTTGGCGAACTGTGGGGTCACCCCTGAGATTGAGAGGGAGCGCCCAAACCTAGTTCTTTCCCCCACTTTTAATTTCCGCCCCTCGTCCCTAGTTGTTCTGGGACCTCAGTTCAACCTGGGAGAGGGCAAGAGTGGAGAGAGCGGGTGTAAGCTTGGTCAGGGAGGGGTTGAGCAGCCCGGCTCCGCGAGAGGAGCCCCTGTTTTGGCCTGGCCCCCGCCCCAAGCCCCGGCTGCCCTCCCTCCGCCTGATTCATCTTTTGTTTCGTTGCCTTCCCTGGCACCGGGCATCGCTTCCTTCCTTCCTTCCTCCTCCTCCTTTCAGCCCCTAGCATTAACCCTTTCGTGGTGCGAGTGCCCCCCACAGAGGTGCCCAAGCGGAGCCGTGCGGGATCTAGGCTGCTGGAAAAAGGGTTGGGGCGGCGGGGGCTGCGCGAAGTACAATGGCCATTCTCCCGGATGACTTAACCGAGCGAGAATCCCGGGCCGAGGCCGGGGACGCGCCGGGAGAAGCGGACTCAGCAGCTCCATCCACAAAGGCGCTTTTCAGCCGCCCCGGCTCAGAGAGAGGAAAGGGCAGAAAGCCGCGCCCCCCATCCCTGCTCCGGCCCGCCGGGTCCCCTCCCCCAGCGCGGCCAGCCCTCCCAGTTCCAGCTCGGGCTCCGCCAGCCCTGAGAGCCCCCCATCTCTCCGTCTCTGCTCCGGAGGCAGCGCAGAAAGGCGTGGGAGTAACACCTGAGAATAACGCGAGCAGCCCTTGCGCGGATCTGGGGGGCCCCCTGCAGGGTGGGAGTGGAGAGGAGGAAAAGCAGCAGCGGCTGGAAGCCTGCGCCGGGGGAGTGAGACCACGGTTATCTCGGCCGCTCCAGTCTGGGAGCCGGAGACCTTGGCGCACACCACAGCACGGACCTCGCGGGAGGAGGCACAGAGAGGACAGCTTCCTTTTCTTCTCCCCGCTCTGACCTCTCCTCGGACTTGGTTTTCTCCTAACTGCCAGAGGGACGTTTCCCCCCTGCCCTTCTTCCCGAGTCTTCTACACCTCCGCAGGGTTGGAGAGGAGGGGAGGGGGAAGACAGGAAAAGTGGTAACTCCTTCCAACTTTTTGTCGTTTTGTCCCCTAAGGAGGCCCTGAGGCCTTGACCTGCGGGGGCAGCAGCCCAGTGCAGAGCCAACTCAATGGAAGCCTTTTGCAGCCAGGGTGTGGGAGATAAGCAGGACCGAGGGGGGTTCCCAGGCCTGTCAGAGCCTCTCCTGGGCCTATCCCTTGTTCTGCCCCCTCTGCTGCAGGTGGAAACCAGAGGAAAGGGCCAGGATATTCCATCCCTGGCCAGGAGGGAAGGAGTATCCCCTTCCCAATCTCTGGGTAGGAGGAATGCTTCAGGGCAAGAGCGAGAAGGAATTCTTTCTCCCCTGGACAGGTTTTCCTAACAAAGTAACCTGGAAAACTATGGCAGTTAATCAGAGGAAATCCGTACCCCTCCCTCTCCCCCCACCTCCCCACTCCATACACAATTAGGTGGTGTAATGGAAAGTGTATAGGACTTAGAATCAGGAGTCCTGAATTCTAGTCCCAGGCATGCCACTAATTAGTTTCAAGATTTTGATTAAATCACTTTTCCTCCCGGGGCCCAGCTCTCATGTAAAAAGGGGAGGCGGGGGTGGGGGTGGGGTGGGGGGGGTGGAAGAATGTGACCTCCAGGTTTCCTTCCAGCTCGGACACTTGAGATCACAGGGCAGAGGTGGTCCTTCACACCTCACCACAGGTTGGTTAGGTTCTGGTCTGCAGCAGGTGCTTAATACATGGTAGTTGAATTCATTTTAACCCTTTAATTCCAAGGAAAGTCCCTGAGCTATGCTGAGTTTGAGGGACACAGGAACCCTTTGATTCTCAGGTGGGCCCATCTGTTCTTCCCATCAAAGATCACTTTTCACTCCAGGACAGTCGTTTAGACTCTAGAATAGCTTTACCTTGGTTCTGAGATGCCTCCCCCATGCCAAAGACAATTCTTGCCCAGCCCCTCCTCAGGTAGATGGCCTGATGACCTGACCCTTGGTCACCCCTTTCCCAGCCCCTTCAGTCTCTTTAGCCCACAGAGCTTTAACACAATCAGGTCAGGAGCCAGGCTAAGGGTAGAGCTTTCTGTCTGCTGCCTAGCCAGCTCCTGGCCCCCAGCTCACCCCAGCCCTTCCTGCCTGGCTCGGTAGCTGACCCCCGGTCCACGCCTCAGCCATTTCCCGTCTCGCCTGCCGCCATCCTCCTTTCCCCGCCCTCCCTGTCTCTCCCAGCTTCACTCTCACTAGTCCCTTCTCCCCCTCCCCATGCAGCCTCTCCCTGGATCCCTCCTGATCACTCAGTACAGCCAGCAGAGGTGTGTGTGTGTGTGTGTGTGTGTGTGTTGGGGTGGGGGGCGGGTGAGGGGTGAAGAGTGTAGGTAGGTCCTTGAGATCAAGGTCCCTATAGATGAAGTCCAGCTCACACCATCCCCGTCCCCTCCGCCAGCTGCCAGAGGAGAGCAGAGAAATTGGCGGTGCCCTCGAGCAGGTGGGGAGAGGCCCTCCTTACCTCGGTCATCAAGCGGTCTGCACCGCTGTTCTCCTCGTCCTTGAAGATGATGTCGGGGTTGTAGTTAGGCACCAGGTCCCGGAAGCGCTCGGAGCCTCTTGTCACCCTCCCCTCGGCCGGCCCACTGGCGCCCAGGGTCCGCTCGGGCACGCTGGGCACAAATTGCTTGTAGAGCAGCGGCACGAGTTGCTTGCGCACGTAGCGGCGCCGGCCAACCGGCCCCCGGCCCGGCCCGCAGCTCTGGGCCGGCAGCGCCAGAAGTGCCAAGCAGCACAGGGGCACCAGACTGGCCGGCAGCGCCATGGATGCAGCGGACTCGGGCCAAAAGGGAACGTTCTTGTCCTCACCAGCTCGCTCGTCAGTTGGGCATCTCCCCCTGCACCAGAGAGCGCAGCAGGCAGAGCTGCCCCCAGAGTGCCCTAGAGCGCTTGTGGCTCAGCACACCTGGCTGCCGCCAGCTCTGCCTACATACCCCCGGGGGGTCTGGAACCTGCTACTGACCGGCCATCATAGCGGGGAAGGGGGGTCGTGGGTAAGTGCCAATCCTGCCGGGCTCTGCCGTCAGGCTCCGGCTCTGCCAGAACGCCGGGGCTCCGCCTTAAGTGGCCCCTGGCCCCGCCCCCCGCCCTTCTCCCAGGACCGTCCCGCCCCCTACCACCAGGGCGGGGGCTCTAGTCGGCCACCGCTGGTCCACTTCGTTTCCACCCTGGAAACCAGGCAGGCACCTGCCTAAGAAATTCTAACAGCTGTACAGTCCTTGGCTGCCTGGATAAGCATCCCTCTACCTCTAAGCCTATGTGTGGCACCAAACCACCCTGATACTCGAATTGGATCTTTGCTCTCCCCAAGCCTACCTGGCAGGCCATGTCCCCCCGCTATCATCTAGGAGCTATGGGATCCAATTTCTGCCCAAGGCCAGCCAGGCCCTTTGGGCACACAACCAGAGCCTCCCTTCTGTGGTCCTCCCCCAACCTCCCCCACTTCCATCTCTCCTCCTTAGCAGTAACCAAGACTGGAAGGGCTGGATACCAGGGGACCATTTTCCCTGGTAGCTTTGCAGTCTTCTGCTGGGAGCTTCCCCAGAATCAGGAACGGAGCTTCATACCTATAGTCTGGTTTAGGACTTCAAACTTTTGTCCCCTTTCTTATCCTTGCCAAACACCCAACTTGTGGATTGGAAACTGCTGGAGGGCAGTGGGTACTTAAAGTCATAGTATCTAACAGTCTGATGATCTCTTCCCTTTACCCTCCATCTAGTCACCTCTTTATCTTTCTCCTTCTCTGCCCCCGCTGGAGCCATTCGGGTCTCACCTCAGAGGCTCTGAGCCTGCAACACTTCACCCATTAATCTACTATCATTTAGAAATCTTTCTCTTGGGCTTCCCTGGTGGCGCAGTGGTTGGGAGTCCGCCTGCCGATGCAGGGGACGCGGGTTCGTGACCCGGTCCGGGAAGATCCCACATGCCACGGAGCGGCTGGGCCCACGAGCCATGGCCGCTGAGCCTGCGCGTCCGGAGCCTGCGCTCCACAACAGGAGAGGCCACAACGGTGAGAGGCCACAACGGTGAGAGGCCCGCGTACAGCAAAAAAAAAAAAAAAAAAAAAAATCTTTCTCTAAGAAGCCTTCCCTGATGTTCTGACACTGGACCTCTATGTTTCCTTGAGAACCAGTTATTAACTGCCATCCACTGTGGTATGGTATTAAAATTATGTCACCCTTACTACACACAGCAGTTCTTAAGCACAAACTTAAACACAATCTTAGCTGAGCACCTGGCCTACAGTAGGGTGCTCAGCAAGTATTTGTGGCACTACACTTTTCTTTGGTATTCCATACTCACTCCTCACTCAGCTCTATGGCTAACATTCACAGTAACTGTGTACATTAGAAAAAAGCAGCCCTTCCTCAAGCCACCTGATTGCCATTTGCAAGAAAAGTCATAGTAACTATACATACAGTGACTGTGAGGTGAATGGTGCCTCTAGCAGTTGGGCAATGTACAATCTACATAACCATGAGCGGAAACTTTGCCTCTACCCCCAACATAGCAGGGGGGCTTGCAGAGTATTCAAGACACTGATAGCCTTGGGAAAGATGGAGTTAGGTTCTTCTCTGAGAATCAAAAACCCTTGTCAGGCAGCCACTTCTTTTACTCTACATCAAATAGGCAGGTCAAGGAGGAAAGGGCTGGTGTAGGGGGGAAGGGGATATTATATAGGGGGATGTTATCCCATTCCTACACTGATGCCCACCTACCCCCAATAACCAAGGCACAGAAATAAGGCCTGGGCATAGGGGAAAGTCAGGTGACCAGCCAGCTTTAAGGAAGGCTAAGGGAAGAGGAGCTTCCTACTGCCTAACACCAGACCCAAGTCCCCAAAGGTCACTGAGGATGCGGATGGAGGGGAAGGGAAAGGATGGTGGCAAGGACCCCTCTGTTTCTCTCTGCAGACTCAGGACTGGTGGCAGCAAAGCTGTTCAAATAGACACAGAGACAGGCCCTTTAAAAAAAACAAAGCAGACCCTGGGATCAACTTTATTGCTGATGGTTGTGGCCTCTCCTCCCTATGACCCTGTCTCTCCAGTGGTCCATAGCTCCTCCAGGATAGCACAGGGCTTAGGCTCTGCTGGGCCAGAGGCAAGGGAGACAATCTGCCTCCCAAGTCTGCCCCCAGCACAGTCCTCCCCTGCCCCCACCCCACCCTATTGCACATCAAATCATGTAAACATGGCTATGGGCATGGCCCGGAACAGCAGTGAGGCAGATTGATGTGTAAACGAATTTGGGACCGGGAGCCAGACCCAGTCACCCAGCCCCACCTCACGCTGGGGCCCACAGTTAAATCTGGAAAAGCTGGGGGGCCTGGTCCCAAACTCTGGCTCAGATGATGCAACAGTGCAGACAGCTCAGCTCCCCTCTGCCACCCACCCTCTCAGATTCCAGGTCCTGAGGTCCACCCACCCCTGGGCACCCCTCCAGGCCTGGGCAGCAGATGGCAGTGTCCAGTTTTCTCCCTCCCACCCCCAGCTGGAGGTCACTGGTGCTGGGTCTTCCTAGATGCCCGGGGGAAACCGGAAACCGGCAACGGCAGTCTGTCCAGCCCTGTGGAAGAGGCAGGGTGGGCAGTCAAAAGCGGGATATAGGTTCAGTCCTCAGGGATAAGACAACCAAGCCACAGAATGGGTGGATGAGATACGCTGCAAACAAAGCAGACAGCATGCCATCTCCCCTGCTTGGGATGACCACTGTTCCAGAGGGCTCCATCCCACAACCCCACCAGCCTCACCCCCACTCCCTCTCACCAAAGGCCCGGATCAGCTCTGCCCGCACAGCTGCGGTGAAGGTTTTCACCAAACAGAGAGTGGTGAGGCCCGCGAAGGCTGCGTTGTAGAGGAACACGATGTAGAAATTGCCCAGCCAGTTGAAGCGTCCGAAGTCACCCAGAAGGTCCAAACGAGTGAGCCCTGAAGTACAAAGGCCAGGATGGGAGGTAGGCTCCCCAACCCTTCCCTGGCTCAGAGCCCAGCTTTCTGCTGCCTCCTGGTGGCCACATCTCAACACTGCAACTAATAGGTTGGCTTCTATTCATTCGTTATTCCTATCTCCCAAGCTCTGTCTCAGGGACAGTTCAGGGCTATTGAAGAAAGTGTCAGCAGCTAGGCTTGCTTTAACTTCCCTTCCAGAGTTTGGCATCTTCTCCTCCCATGGGGGGGTGCCCTCTGGCTCCAGGAGTCCTGAGGAGCACCCTGGGCCTGCTACTTGTTCCTGGGCCAGGAGCCTACAAGCCAAATGTCACCAAATGTTTTTTTTAGTAGACAGAGCAGTGTGGAGGCTAAGATCTCTGACTCTGGTCATGGCTGCTTCGGTTCCTATCTGAACTCCACCCTATCTAACTGTGTGATCTGGGGCAAATCCATTAAATATCTGTGCCTCAGTTTCTTCAACTAAAGAGAAAATAACGGGACTGTGAGAATTAAATGAGACAACACACAGAAAGCACTATATGCGCCAGGCACTGTTCCAACACTTACCGAGCCCCTAACAGTAATAATATAATCATCACAAATTAAAATTCTGGAGGGCTTCCCTGGTGGCGCAGTGGTTGAGAGTCCGCCTGCCGATGCAGGGGACACGGGTTCGTGCCCCGGTCCGGGAAGATCCCACATGCCGCGGAGCGGCTGCGCCCGTGAGCCACAGCTGCTGAGCCTGCACGTCCGGAGCCTGTTGCTCCGCGGCGGGAGAGGCCACAAGAGTGAGAGGCCCGCGTACCGCAAAAAAAAAAAAAAAAATTCTGGAGCCCCGCGCCCCCCACCACTTAAAAAATATTCCTACCAGCATCCAACCTTAAAGGAACTAACTGGTGGACCCACAGGCCAAGTTTCCTAAATCGCCATGGCATAAGTACAAATGGTAGAGTAGAGAGAATATGAACTTAAGAATCAAATAGAACTGACTTAAATACTAAATCATGTACAGTATATGGATGATGATGGTGGGGAGGTGGGGAACCTATGCAACTCCCCTACTACCTTGGGTGAACCAGTTACACTTTTGAACATTTTTACCAGGTAATGCTAGATCATAGCTAAAGATGGGAGAAGAATTGAGCATGTTATTTGATGCCCAGTGTGTAGAAAAAGCACTGGACACTGGACTGGGGTTCAGGAGACAGAGGTTCTAGTCTGACTTAGCCTTGCTTCAAACAAGCTGTATAACTCTGGGTAAATCAGTTAGCTTTTCTGTTTCTCTTTTTTCTTTCTTTTTTTATCTTAGTTTGGCCACGCAGCGCGGCAAGCCAGGATCTTATTTCCCCGACCAGGGATGGAACCCGCGCACCCTGGAGTGTAAGTACGGAGTCTTAACCACTGGACGGCCGGTAAAGTCCCTGTTTTTCGTCTTTTAAATGAGAATGTTGGGACTTCCCTGGCAGTCCAGTGGTTAAGACTCCGTGCTTCCACTGCAGGGGGCAAGGGTTGATCCCTCATGCCACAGAAAAAGAAAGAACTGTTTATCAGATGATCCACCGCAAAAGAAGATTTGGGGGAAAGTGGTGCTTCTCCACCAAAAAAAAAAAAAATGGAAGTAAGTAGGGGAGGCTGTGGGATGGATGTAGCAAATGGAAAAAGTATGAGCTTTGAAGCAACACTACTCTGAAGCTCAGCATAGCATTTTATAGAGCCTCTGTTTCTCCATCTGTAAAATGGAGATAATCCCTCCTCATAGGTTTGTTGTGGGAATTAGAGAGAGCATGAATATAATGTGTCTGCTTAGTACCAGTAGGTACTCAAAAAAAGCCAATTCTCTTACCTCCTTTTGCTACTTACCCAGGGTTCGAGAGAAGACAGGAAGTGCTGAGCTTAGGACCAGGAGACAGACACAGTTGCCAATTATCTGGGTGGGATTAAGGAAAGGGCAGGTCAGGGTAGCAGAGCTGCCAGCACCTAGTGCCCAGGCACGCCCCCCAGGCCAGCTACCTGCGTCATGGCTGTGTCATGCCATCTGGGCCGCAGTCCCCAGAAGAGTGGAGAGCTGTAGAATCCCACGACCGAGGAAACCATCAGGTAACTGTCACTGGGTTAGGGAAGAACTGGTCT